ATCAAGCTGGTAGGTCGCCATCTATTTACATCTGGCTACATTTGCATGCGTGCGAGAGTAAAATGGCTAAGTTTTGTAAATCTTTAGCTGCAGCCACTTACCAGTCTTCTTTAGACCCAGGAGTTCTGTGGAGGTTTTCCCCACTCTCAAAGAAACCTGAGAGGAAAAATTAGGTTTTTTGGGCTGGAGTATGTAATATTAGCATTAATTTATCAGCGTTTATTCTTGGCCAACAGCAAATTGTCTTCTTTTTTTTTTTTTTAATTCTTCCTTTGGTTATTCCACAGTGTGAAATACAATAGAATCAAGTTACAAAAACAGACCATTGCCTAAATCGCTGTCCTTAGTGTACTTTCATATCTGCTGTGTACTTTAGTGTAGTCTCTGGACAGTACAGTAGAATATGTAGCACACTCCGCATTTTTCTGATACAGATACGAGGGCAGCTCTTCAAGACTCTCTATTTCTATCATTGGGATATTCTCTGGAGCCAGTCCTATACTTTATTTATTCATTTTAACTTTTCCTTTAGTTTATGTTCAGTGTTTCACAAGTACCATGTAAAGACCTGAATGAAACAAGCATACAGTGTTTTAAATGGGGATTTTTGGTGTATAATCTGATCCAAGCTTCTTAAAAGTTCAGGTGTGTTGGCATTAGTGTGTAATTTCTCTCTCACCCTCCAATAGTTGGTTTATAAAATGCGCCATGGTGGTTCTAGTAATGTTGTCTGACGACAATGCTCCCAGGTGTTCAATAAAGATGACTCCTTAGAAGAAACACAGATTGAATTAAGAGATGGGGCCTTAGCCTGATCTCATATATGCTAGAGTAGAACCAGAGTAACTTCCAAGTCAGTGGATTTGAGCCAACATAACTGAGATCAGAGTCTGGCTCAAGGAGTCTTTCTTCGCTTTTATTGTCCAAGATCCAGTTGAAAAGGAGAAGCTGTTCAGTTCCCCCTTTATTTTTGCTGTTCCGTAGTTTCCGACAGTATGTTAGGTTTTTTTAAGTAGGTCAT